CGAAGGGTTGAGATTTTTAGGGTTAAACGGATTAAGATGGTGGCCTTTGTAGTTACCTATATTCTTTTGGGGTTCCTTAATAGTTATAAGTATAGTACAACATACCCCCCCAAACGCTATTCTAAGTGTTAAGGGCTCAGAACCGGCGCTGCGGGCGATGATTTTTGGTTTCGGGCGTTTTGGCACCACGACCCGAAACCCTATATACCCTAAACCCTAAACCCTAAACCCTAAACCCAATTCAATTCCTGAGGGTTGCCTGTCTTTCGCGGTTTCTGAGAGCTTTGGACCGGAACTCCGACCTCGACCGCGTCTAGGCTGTGGGCTAGGGCTTAGGGTTTAGGGTGTGTGTGTGTGTGTGTGTGTGTGTGTGTTTAGGGTTTAGGGTTTAGGGTTGGGGTTTAGGCCTGTAGGCTATTGGTTTTGGGTTTATGACTCGCGCGTGTCGAGTCCCTGCGTTCTCCAGCTTGCCGACTGTCTGCCATCCGCCCCCAAAAAAAGACGGGAAAGGGTGTTTCGGCTTGGGTTTGCTGGGCTGTACTACCTCAGAAAAAAAATCTCCCCCAAAATAGCGATAAACAGTTAAGCCTAAATCCTAAACCCCATAAACCCTAAACAGTTAAACCTGTCTGAACCCCATAGTTTGGAGTTTTGAGGTATCCTGGTTTGGGGCTCGAACCTGCATGCCGCTGCCCTTTTGCCTCAACAAAAGCAGGGCTAAGCCATTCTAAGCCCTGAGCCCATAACATCCCTTTATAACCCTAAACCCTAAACCCTATAATGGCCCTAAACCCTGAGCCCTATAAACCTTGAACCCTACAAACCCTGAACCCTGAACCCTAAACCCCCTAAACCCTTGGCCCGAAATCCTGGAATATTCTGGGCCCCAAGCCCGAAAGGCCCTGAAGCTCAGGGGGCAGAGCCGGGTCTGCTTAGGGTTTAGGGTTTAGGGTTTAGGCTGAAATCCTCTCTTCCGCAACACACCCGGGGCCCCCTCCCTTTCTCAAGGCTGCTTTGATTCATCCCGGAACCCTAAACCCTATAAACCCTATAAACCCTAAACCCTATAAACCCTAAACCCTATAAACCCTATAAGCTCTAAACCCCATAAACCCTCAACCCTAAACCCTAAACGCCCTCAAAAAACTGGACCCGAGAGCCGAACAAAACGCCGAAAGCCCTGAACTCCAAAGCCGAAAGCCTTGACGTTCCGCCCCAAGGCCGGGACCCTGAACCCTGGACCCAAAAAACTGCCGATGCCACAAGCCTATAAACCCTAAACCCTAAATCCCTAAAGCCCTAAAGCCCTAACCCCAGAAACCCTAAACCCTCAGGGTTTAGGGCACAGACTGTGAGACTCTGAAGCCCGAACCTCAAGCTCCTTTTTTCCCGAACAGCTGATCTCTCAGCTGAAGTTGAAGTCCCCCCCCACGTGCTAAAGCAAGCCCCAGAAGTTGAAATCCGGTCTAAGGACACATAGTGCTGGGATCCCCGGTGCATTACTCTTAAGGATTGAGGCTATTGGGTTTCCAACTTTTAGGGCCCCGAACCCCAAACCCCAAACCCTAAACCCAAAACCAACCCACAAACCCTAAACCCCAAACCCTAAACCCTAAACCCCAAACCCCACACCCCAAACCCTAAACCCTAAACCCCTACACATAGACTCAACCCGACCGACTCCTGGCGCCCACGAGTGTGAAGGTCGGCTCCCAGCCTCCTCTGGTGCTTTCGATCCTCAGAGACCTGGAGCGCACTGCATGGCCCTTCCTGGAGGTGCTGAAACAGTTACCGAAAGGGTTTAGGGTTTAGGGCACTGCGTGGCCCTTCCTGGAGGTGCTGAAAAAGTTACCGGGGGGCTGTGGGGTGATATTGGGCTTTGGGGTGATAGGGTGCCAGGGTTTGAGGTCTAGGGCCCAAAGGATTTACGGTATGAGGTATTGTTAGGGCGGCTAGGTTTCAGGCAGCTGTTGTCCATGAGGCAGTAGTATTATTACTTCTCCTAGCACGTGTGCCAGATCTTTTAATAAGCTTGCTGTCACAATTGTCGCTTCTTTCTCTGGCTGGCATACCCGTAAATGAGTGCACTCCCATGTGACGGCATTCCGTGTTATGACTGTCCGTGTGTCACGGAGGTCCTCGCCCAAATGGCACAAGACACAGACTACTGGTCAAGAGTCTATGCACCGTGACAAAAGCAACTGCAAGGATTCCTTTCCTTAATGACTCCGTTTCCTTTTTGGTTCAACCATCTTTACGTTTAGGATCCTACAAGGGAGGAACTACAACGCAGACTACAGGTGGTGCTACAGCTGCCTGCCATGGTTCTGGAAACGGTGATGGCCACTGAAGTGGCAGCAGCGATTGTAAAGATGCTGATGCAAGTGCCCCTATGCTCCATTATAGTTCCTTTGGTGGTGTATGTTAAGGATCCTATAAGGTAATCCCAAACAAGAACTACTATGGAGCCTGTGGGTAATGACGTGGTTGGCCTTTACACGGCTACATTCATCGACATTCATAGCATGAGCTACATGAGGAAAGTTACACTATAGTAAAAGCCCAAAGTTGGAAACCCAATAGCCTCAATCCCTAAGAGTAATGTTGGGGGGAATCCCATCCGATTTCCAACTTTTTGGGGCTTACTATATCTGAAAGCTGAACGGGTCAAGTAGCTGTTGTTCAACATCATCGAGGTGGGGAATCCTGCATTACCCAGAGAGCCCAATACCCCTTAATTAAGGAATATACCTTAAATTATAAGGGACTTCGTATTATGATTTAAGCTATATTCCTTAAATTAAGGGATATTGGAGTCCCGAGGCCTGTCCTGAGCCGGCCGTTGCCTCCAATCCAATACCATAGCGGAAAAACCATTGCTGCATTTCCAGACGCTGCTTGTCCGAAAGCAAAGGCCAGAGCAAGCGAATCGCCGCCATATATAGGGCGTTGTCCGCCAGTTCCCCAGCATGATGCGCCACCATGGCCGCATCGGCTTCCCCTGCCTGGTCCAAAAGCGAGGCATACACTGCTCGCTGCAGGTGCTGCATGGCCATCGTCCGTGGCGGCAAGGGGGCTGCTGGGAGCTGCTCCAACCAAACCAGGTCGTTGGCTGGCATATCTTCCTCCAGCATGCATCGGAGAGCCGCCGACATATGCTCCAGATCTTCTCGTCGCTGCGGCGACAAATACTCCGAAACGTTATACTGCAGGTTGCGAGCTGAGTCCCTGTCATGGCCTTTTCGGTACTCTCTGTACTGTGCTGCAGCTTGCCGAGCAGGGAAGCGTTGCTTGAGTTCCCTTTCCAGCTGCTTCCAGCAGATGGCCTTGACAAGCTCCTCCGTAAAGGACTGCTTCTTGAGCGCGAAGTCGAAGCCTCGGTCAGGAGGAGGGGCCGGATCGACCCGAGCCTCCACGTCAGCATCGCTGTCAAAAAGGCAGCTGTCCACATCATCCTCATCATCCACCGAACTGTTGTCCGTCGCGTATGACTCATCCAAAGAGGCACTACAGGCCTCCGAACGCGGCATGCGTCCCGACAAGGGGCACCCTTTTAAATCTGGCATGGGAAAAACTTTTAGAAGGAACCGAAGACCACAAAAAGGGAAACAGGGCCCCCTACGGGACTTCATTCCAAGGCATGTTCCCTAAACCCAGCTGAGATCTGGCATGGGATATACTCTTATTAGTAACCGAAGACCACAAGGGCCCCCTGAAGACCTAATTCCAAAGCATGTGCCCTGAATGCCAAACCCCAAACCCTGGGGTTTAAGCTTTTGGGGTTTTGGGGTTCAAGAGGTCCCAGGCTTTTGGTTAAAGACGCTGCAGTCTTAGGGCTTAGCACGTAACGGTTAGGGTTTAGGGTTCAGGGTTTAGGTGTTAAAGTTTACGGTTTAAGGAGTCACTAAGGTAATTAGAAACAGATTGAACTGACCAAGTTCCATGAACCTCCAAGGATTCCTATAGTGCCCGGTTTAGGGTTTAGAACCCTTATAGCTCCCTTTAAGGAGCCCTTTAAGCTACTCAGTACCATGCTCTAGGCTCATCTCGAGGGTTCATAGGGAATGTACAAGTTTGAGTGGGTTTTGGGTTTAGGGTTTAGGGTTTCCAAGCCGCTTTGTGTGAGGATTTGCAGGCTGTAGCGTCTGATGTCTAAGAGGTTCAGGAAGTTTAGCGTTGTTTAAGTTAACCTCTAAACCCTAATAAGGAACGACTTCAAAACCCGTAAAACCCCCAAGCCCTACACGGTAACAATCTATAGATCCCGTAAGAACCCCTCGAAGTATTGAACATTAGTTTGGGGCTTAGGGCTTAGGGATCAAACCCCTAAGTGTATCACGCTCTGCCTGCCAGGCTTTGCATGCGTTGCACGGCTGCATCTGCGGCCTCCACGTGCTCCTGCAGCAGGGCTTGCTAGGGCTTGGGGGTAAGGCGTTTAGGGTTTAGGGTTTCTCAACCATAATCATGGTCATCGTTGATGATACAGCCGAGGTCAATCATATCATCATCGTCGTCGTCATCATTACCGCGATCATCAGCATCATCCAATCATGAGACCTCAGCGTGACAGCGACCTCATCACAATCAGCGAGCCATGCCATGTTCACCGCCAGTGTGTAATCGCTGCTACCTCGCACGCTGAATGCTGCATTCCACGTGGCAGTAACTGCTTTCATGCCTCTTCTACTGCATGCTCGCTTCGCGTGTCGTCACATCAGTTAACCTTGCGATGCCGCAGAGTACTTGCAGTTCAGCACATCCGCATGCTGGCAATTGACCTCCCCCAAAGTCTCAACTCAATAGACAATGTAAAGTACCTGAAATACACAAGAACCGGTCAACACGGTTCCATGAAACAGGAGCACAGCGTGAGACGATACGATGCAGACTCACACATACTAACACTGAAGTTTCAGGGGTAGTTTTTCAGCGAGTGATAAGAACATTCGTTTGGGGCTTCACAGCGACCCCTCCTAAACCCACTTACTGCGGCCCGTCTCCTTCATGCTGAAGACGACATGGTTCTTCCGGCGCCCTGTCGCATCCAACTGGAACTTGCGAACCTCAGCACCGCAGAGACTAACCCTAAGGGTCCATGTACCCAAATCGTAGAACATCAGCCCTAAAGTACCCAAATAGGGACTACATTAAGGCCAATGTTCTACTATTTGGGTACATGGACCCTTAGGGTAATATAAAGCCTACGGAAAAAGCCATGCGACTCAGCAACTTCAACGGCTCCTTGAAAGACTCGAAAAAGGGATCCTTGAAGGGTTCTGTAGCGTCGGGTTTTGAGGTTGCAAATTTGGTAAAATGCTTATCACTTCTACATACTTCAAGCCACTTCTAGCCCCGATTCACTATAAGTGTCGATCCCAAGCGTCCCCAAAATTGGTTCGGGTTCCTTAATCAACCAATCAAGCCTTTGACACTCCTCCGACATCAGCCCCTAGCATCCGGAGGCGGCCTCGGGGGGGTGCCTCCGCCGGGTGTCCCCCTGGACTTGCGGTTCCCGCTTCTTCTTATCGGAAGCTGTGCCATCGAGCCGAAAGGAGCGTCTGGATTTGTCACATCATTGGATGTTGACGATCGTGCAATTGTTAACATGATGCAGCATGCACAACCAACAGATCCTCCAGGATCTCGCCATAGCCAGGAGCGTTCCAGCTTGTGCTTTAAGACTGCAGCGTTTGATTCTGTGTTGCCGCCCATGCTGTGGCAATTTCGAGGGTTTATAAGGATGTTGAGTGCTACCTAGCATATGAGCCAATATAGGGTCTGACGAGAAAGCAACTGAACCTGGACTCTAAACCCTAACGTAGGGGCGTTATAATGATTACCTATAATATTTTCGGGGCTCCTTTGTAAATTATACTTTAAAGGAGGCCAAAGCCCTATAATTAAGGCCTCTATATTGAACATGTGCTGAAGCCCTGAGTTCTCCAAAACCTTGTTCCAGTTATTATGCCCCTCTGGTATATAGCCCCGCCCCCCCCAAGAAAAAAACAAATCCTATTCCGTGTGTTAAGGGCCGTTTTGTACCGAACTTAATAAGGTGATCTTTTGACTACGATTTCAATGTAACGCCGACTCGCCAGGTCGAACAACCCTAGTGCTCTAGACTACTATACTTGTTGTTTTTTTGTTAAGGGCTCTTTTCCGTCCGCACAAGTCTTCGAGCATCTGTAATATAGGGGTTTACGGTTTAGGGCTTGACAAACCGAATATCTTGTTTTTTGGGGTACAACACAGTAAACTTATACAAAAATACCAAGGAATGATGTTGGTGTTTATCCAACCACTCTTCCAAAACCCTAACCGGGAAGCCCTAAACCTTCAACCTTCAACCCTCAACCCTAAGCCGCAAACCCTAAAGGCTAAGTACAGAGGTCCACGGTTCCGGCGTCCTGCGCCAAGACACTCCAGAAACCGTCACAGCATATCCTACGGCTCCAAAGGACCCGAGTTTAAGGGGGTTTAGGGTTTAGGGTGCGTGAAAATTTTGTAGGTTAGTACTTGGGAGAGTATATGACCTTCAGGGGTAGGGGTTCCGCTCATATGATTAAGGTATACCCCTGTTCCTAAATACGAGGTTTGGGAAGACAATGCTAAACCCTTAAACCCTAATTACTTCAGAAAAGACGTCTATGTTTTGAGCCAAGCAGCTCTCTCAGCATTTGCGTCCAGCTGCTTCTTGACCTTCCAACTTGGACATCCCAAAAAGCCACAGGCCCCATAGTAGTTCCTTTTTGGGGCTCATATGTAGAATCCCATAAGGTATAATCCTCAAAAGGACCTACTACGGGGCCTTTGAGTAAAAACCACCAGAACGCCGTCCATCTGCTCAACCTCCTAAAATGTCGGAAACTTCCGTACAAACTCTTCGTAAAGCCCCACACGATTCTGGTAAAATCCCTAAACCCTAAGCCCCGCTGCTGGCCCATACATGGGCAGTTCTCTACATGAGGGTCCCATTTTTTTTGGACCAAAAACACACCCAATTTAGTGAACAACCCTAAACCCTAAACCCCTGATCAACCCGCTGGGCTCAGAATATGACTCTTCACTCCCATGAACTATAGGGATAAACTTCGGGGTGTCGCAGCGACACATCCAAGCGCCAGCAGCTCGACCGGAACTCGAGCATTCTGCGAGGAGCCCCACGCCAGTCAAGGCCCCTGAAACTTTACGCCGAAGATTTACAAGATTTCTCCGGCCTGCATGAGACCACGTACAAGGTGGTGATAGTCTGTGATGAGGCTTATGGCAGCACGCTCCGGTGTTCATAACGCTTTCATGCTACACAATAGGCAGGGCTTGCACCTTACTGCCTCTGGGCGCTTAGCCGGAGGCTCGTCACGCGTTGCGGTGTCACGGCCCGCTGCGGAGAACATTGCGAGCGGCCGGGGATGAAGCATCGATAGAAACTCGGTGCTGTCAAAGACCTTGCGAAAAGCATCATCGCACGGCCTGGTGCCCCCCGCCTTGATGTTTGGTCTGCATGCAGCAGGACAAACTGACGATCAGCCTGTTCGATTTGCTTCAAGCTGACACGGGCATACTGGGGAGGGGGATCGGCACATTGCTGCCACTCGATGTCCTGCTGACGAGCCGACTCGTAGACTGCGACGGCTCGGTCTATGAGGGAATCCGCGGGCTCGAGTAGAGGGTTTTGGGGTAGAAGGGCTCATAATCAAACGAGGCAAACCCACTCTTGTACTCTCACTATACAGGGTTTTAGGGTCTAGGGTTTCCGGGCTCATGGCGTAAGACTTTGGGAGTTGCACCTTTTAGGCCTTGGGGCTTGAGGCATGATGAAATGGAGATTGGTAGCACCCTACTATTTCATTTCGAACTCCACTGTCCTTGTCCCGAACCATGACACAATAAGGATCATAAGGGTTCCTTTAAAGGTTCCTGCAAAGGCTCCACTAAGGGTCCTCACAAAGATGGAATCATCAGGAGAAGCGTCAGGTGTGCAGTTCGCGCACGCAGGTGCCAAAATGAGACGCAACCACTCGAATCAGGATCTTGCTTAGGGCTCGACGGACTTAGGGATCAGGGTTTACCTAGACCCCAAAGAGGACATATATAAGGAGATCATCGTAAGGAGCCCTACAAAGAGAGGTTCTTACGCGTCCTTGTAATCCCTAAACCCTAAGCCCTAAACGGGTTTAGGGTTGAGCATTTAGAGCCGGAACCTCATACCGAAAATCATGACAGCCTTGCATCCCCGAAGCCTGAAACTGCGCAAAACCCCGAACCCGAACCTCAAAACCCTAAAACCCTACTAACCCTAGCCCCCCAAGCCCTAAACCCTAACCGCTACACCCTTGATCGAACCCTCAAGACCTAGACCCTATGTCCTCTACACTCTAAACCCTAACTCTAAACCCCCTTAACCCTAAAGACTAAAGCCGAACCTCCAACCCCCAAACCCTGACCCCGAAACCCTATGACCCCTAAGCTGTAGACCCTCAACCCCCTGAACCCTATGACCCCTAAACCCTGAACCCGATTGGGATAACCTGGAGGCCCGAAAGCTGGGTTCCGGATTAGGGTTTAGGGTGTAGGGTTTAGGGTTTGGTTTAGGGTTTAGGGTTTAGGGTTCAGGGTTCAGGGATCAGGGTTCAGGGTTCAGGGTTCAGGGTTTAGGGTTTGTTAAAGGATTTAATTTAAGTTACCAAACTAGGGATCTATGGAAAGTAATTCGGCTTCCTTATTTTAGTAACTTTAATTAAACCCCTTAACTAACACGATTTCCTTGCTATAGCAACTTAAACCCTAAACCCTAAGCCCAAAACCCTAAAAAAACAAAACCCAAAACCCAAAACCCTAAAACCCCAACACTCTAAAACCCGACTGGAACCCAAAACCCTAAAAACCAAATCCCTTCGCAAGAGCTCAACCCTACTGGAACCCAAAGCCCTAAAACCCGAATCCCTTCGCAAAAGCTCAGCCCTGGCTCCCAGACCCTCAACCCTAAACCCTAAAAACCCTAAACCCTAGACCCTAAACCCTAAACCCAAAACCCTACAGACCCTAAACCCTACACCCCTAAGCCCTAAACCCGAAACCCTAAACCCTAAACCCCCCTAAACCCCAAACCCCTAGGGCCTTCTCAAGCTCCGCCCTGGCTGTGGCAGCCGTGGCCTGGTTCTCTCGGGTTCAGAGTTCCAAGTACCCCTTAATTAAGGATAGGGTTTAGGGTTTAGGGTTTAGGGTTTAGGGCTTAGGGTTTAGGGAATATACCTTAATTCATATTAGGGATCCTACTATAATTTAAGGTATGTTCCTTTTTTAAAGGGTATTTCCCAATACCCCTTAATTAAGGACTATACCTTGATTCATATTAGGGATCCTACTATAATTTACCCAGGGGTCCATGTACCCAAATAGTATATACTTCGGCCTTAAAGTAGTCCCTATATGGGTACTTTAGGGCCAATGCATATACTATTTGGGTACATGGACCCTTAGGGTTAAGGTATGTTCCTTAATTAAGGGGTATTGGAGTCCTGGGTTCAGGGTTCCCAAGAGGGCTCCCAGGAGGGTTCCCAAGAGGGTTCCCAAGAGGGTTTAGGGTTTAGGGTTTAGGGTTGTTTCGCGGCCGGGTTCTTGTTAAGGGATAGGGTTCAGGGTTAAGGGTTTAGGGTTTCGGGTGTAGGCTTTGGGGTTAGGGCTCGGGGCTTGGGGTTTAGTTGAGGTGTAAGGCTTAGGTGTCTAGGATTTTGGGGTCTTAGGGTTTGGGGCTCAGGGTTTGGGGTTCAGGATTTGTAGGGCTTGGGGGTTATGCTTTAGGGCTTATCATGGCGGCTTTAGGGCCTAGGGCTTTAGTGTAGGCTCTCGTGGACCCTGAAATCTACGCTTTGAGGGTTCTTATTCTGATTTGCTGAAATATGTTGTAAGCCCTTGAAGAGGCAGCTCTTATGGGGTTGGCCTTGTGGGGTTCGCGGGTGTTGGGGTTATCTGTGAATTTCGGGTTGTAGAAACCCTAAAACCTAAACCCTATCTCGGCCCCTATATTCGTGGCGGTCGCACGGACCACTTGCAGGGCCCTCGGCTGGCAGTCGCAAGGCAAGCCAAGGGCTTCGGAAAGACCTCAAGGCCCCGAATGACGGAGGGGGGGTGGGGGTCCTAGGGTTTAGAGTTTAGGCAAGCACAGGGTTTAGGAGACAGCCACAGGGTTTAGGGTTTAGGGTATAGGGGTTTAGGGTATAGGGTTTAGGGGTTTAGAGGTTTAGGGGTTTAGGGTTTAGCGTATATGGGTTTAGGGTTTCTGGCTCTCTTTTCACCGGACCTCACCCCTCGTGTCGCGAATGGCGTAGCGAAACTGGTCCGGTGCCCGGCGTCTCCGTGCCCATGTACCCAAATAGTTTAGGTGTAGGGCTCCTTTGAAGGTTCCTTTAAAGGGTTCTATAAGGGCACCATAAGGGTTTAGGGCTTAAGTTAAGGGTCCACTTACCCAGATAGTATATACATTGGCCCCAGAGTACTTATATAGGGACTACTTTAAGGCCAGAGTATATCTATTTGGGTACATGGACCCTTAGGGAATTATACTGGTAAGCCGTGCCGTATGTGAGCAGGCCTGAAGGCATGCGCGCGTGTAGTTATTATGAAAGTTTGTTGCCTTAAAGCCCATGGAAGCCCATGCACAACCCCTCAACAACCCTTGCTACGCCTGCAAAACTCAACACCTATACCAAAACTTGAAATCCCAAAGCAGGCACTTGCACGATCGTGCAAAGGCCGGAATCCGAAACCCCTAAACACAAAATACCAAATTCCTCAACCCCCACCCCAAAGCCTGAATCCTAAACTCAAAACTCAAAGCCTAATCCGAACAAAGCTCAACACCAAAATTCCTGTCAAAAGAAGAACAAAAACATCACCAGGCCTCGGCTAAGCGGCCCACTTCCACTAACTTAAGGCTCACCTGGGCTTGTCTTAATAAAAGATTGGGGACGATGGTTTAGGGTTAGGTTTTGGGGCTCCGATTTCAGGGGCGTTCGGGTCCAAGGTCTGACATCGACTTGAAGTTTAGGGTCTGCCTGGAATTCAAAGGAACCTACATTTTTAGGGCTCCTTCTAATGACTTCCTTCTATAAGTCCCCAAAAAGCTAGGTTGTCTGGGGTCTAGGTATAAGATGACTGAAAGCCCAGAGACTCCAATATTCCTTAATTAAGGAATATACCTTAAATTATAGTAGGATCCCTAATATGATTTAAGGTATATTCCTTAACTAAGGGGTATTGGAGTCTCTGGGAGTTGTGTTGTGACAAACGTTTCTGTTGCACTTCAGGTTCTTGGAGTTGGTTACTTGGAGGGTATTGAGACAAGGCTGTTGATGGCTTAACCCTAAGGGTCCATGTACC